AGCTCAAGGCCAGCCTGGTTTACATAGTGAGTTCCAGGCCAGCTGGGGCTACAGGGAGACCCTGTCTCAAAAAAAAACAAAAAAAAAAAAAAAAAAAAAAAAAAAAAAAACAAACAAAGAATGTGGTATTTTAAGAGAGAAGAAAACATTAAATTGTCAAGTAAAACAACCATACATATTCATATGAACACACACAGACACACATAAAAGGGACATAAAACAAAACAAGCAGAAGACTTGAACTTGAATAGGCATCTCACTAGAGAGAGTGCTAAGATATACAGTATAATGAGAAAGGGTTCCATCTCGCTGGACAGCAGAAAAACGAGAACCAGGCTGGTAATATAGCTTGGTGGTAGAGGGCCTGCCTAACACATGTGAGGCTCTATGTTCAATTCCCAGCAATGCAAAAACAAGAAAAAAAAAAAGAGAGAGAGAAAGAAAAAGAAATAGAGAAATGAAAATTAAAGAGGACTGTGAGATACTAGGAAAGCCATACCAGGACAGTTAACATGAGAAAGGCATCAGAGTGCTGGCCAGGATGGGCAGCAGCTGGAATCCTTGTATGCAGCTGGCAAAGCAGAAATTCTGGACTCTGGGAAATATTTACTAAAGCCAAGCATGGATAAAGCAAAAGCAATCTCACTGCTGGCAGATGACCAACCAAAGGTAAATACATGCACACCAAACAGTAGGTACAAGATGTTCTCAGGGGCATTATCCCTAGTGGCCACAATCGAGAAGAACCCCAATGTCCACCCACACCAGGAAGGATAGTGTTCTATGTCCACATATCAGATCAGAGTACAGCAAAGTGGGCATGGGACAGACATCTGTGATTCCAGCACTTGGGAGGAAGAAGCTGAGGTTAAGTAGCTCAAGGTCATCCTCGACCAGATGGTGAATTCAAGGTCAGCATAGGCTATGAGACCCAGTTTTAAGACAAACTAAACCAGAGGTTAGGAAGAAGATTCAGTGAGTAAAGTGCTTGCCACACAAGCATGAAGACCTGAGTTTGATCCCCAGCACACAAGCAAAGGGCAGGTATCCCAGCACACACCTGTAATCCAAGGCCTGAGAAGGTGGAGACAGGATGATCCCTGGGGCTCACTGCTCAGCCAGGCTAACCAGACTGGTAAGATCTACATTCAGTGAGAGACCCTGTCTCAAAAAGTAAGATGAGGGTACTGGAGGGTAACTGGCTCAACAGTTAAGAGCACTTACTGTTCTTCCAGAGGACCTGGGTTCAGTTCCAGCACCCACACAGCAGCTAACAACTGTCCTTTACTCCAGTTCCAAGGGATTTGACGCATTCTTCTGGCCGCCGCAGGCATTGCACACGGGTGGTGTACTTACACACATGCAAGCAAAACACTCATACACATAAAATAAAAATTAGAAAATATTTTTCAAAATAATAAGGTGGAAGCCAGGAGTGGTGGCGCACACCTTTAATCCCAGCACTTCGGAGGCAGAGGCAGGTGGATCTTTGAGTTCAAGATCAGCCTGGTCGACAAATGAGTTCCAGGCCACCAACTAGAGCTACATAGTAAGACCCTGTCTCAAAAACGAATGAACAAATAAGGTGGAAAGAAACTGAGGAAAACATCTGGTATTGACTTTTGGCTTCTACACGAACACATGTGCACCTACCTACATCCATAACATATGTGTGCTCACACAGAGAATTACATACAAAAAAGGAAATGACCTAAAGCTACACATAATACACATGGGTTTCATGACCAACACTGAAAGAAACCAGACACAGGAAGTCCCCTGAATGGTTTTATTTAGATCAAGTTCAAAACAAAATGTACCTACAAAGAGGCTGGGACTCAGGGTGTGAATCCCGGCTACTTGGGAGGCTGAGGCAGGAGGATTATAGGATAAATGACTGACTGGGCAACAGAGTTCAAGGCCAGCGTGGACAGCTTAGTGACACCGTGTATCAAAATTTTTAAAAAGGGGCTGGAGAGATGGCTCAGTGGTTAAGAGCACTGGCTGCTCTTGCAGAGGGCCCAGGTTCGGTTCCCAGCACCCACATGGTGGCTAACAACTGTAACTCCAGTTCCAGGGAATCCAATGCCCTCTTCTGACCTCCACAGGAATTGAATAACATGGGTGCACTTACATACATGCAGGCAATACATTCATACACATTAAAAAATTGCTTTTAAATAAATAAATAAGAAAGAAAGAAAGAAAGAAAGAAAGAAAGAAAGAAAGAAAGAAAGAAAGAAAGAAAGAAAGAAAGAAAGAAGGAAAGAAAGAACGAACGAACGAACATAAAAGGGAAGGAGACATAGCTCAGAGGTAGAGTTGCTTGCCTACTGTATGCAAGGCCCTGGGCTCAATCCTTAACAGAGAAAGAAAAAAAAGCACCTATAATTTTAGAAGGTGAGGACAGAAGTTACCTGTGGGTGTTATAGGGAGGTTAATGAGTGCTTCCAGGGTGCTGATAAAGTTATGTGTTATTATCAGGCAGTTAGATAGGTGTGTATACTTTCTGAAAACTCAGTAGAGAATTTGAGTGGCATGGTTATGTTCACTAAACTTATGTGGAAGTATAATTCAATAAAAAGCTTATCAAAAGAAAAGGTCCAGGCAAGAAGGGAGTAAGACACTGGCAAGGTCACCAACTGTAACCTCCTAGCCAGGGCTGGCTCCCCTCAGCTTCTGAATGCAGCAGCCAGGTACTGAGAACACTTCTCTCATGTCCAAATGAGCTTCACGTCACCCTTCATCATGATGGGAACCCCTGTGGCCCCACTCCTGTCCGCAGGCTGTGGGCACGGAAAGGACAAGTATTGCTATATAAACTTATCCACTCGGCTGGGATGTAGCTTAGTGGCAGAGCACTACTTGCCTAGCATGTAAGAGGCCCTGGGTTCCATCCCCAGTACCAAAAAAGAAAAACTGCCAGTCAGGTCCAAATGGAGCCCTCTGTTCTTTTTCAGCCTGGCACCTAACTTCCCAACTAAGCAAAGAGTGGTTGCGGCAGGAGTTGGGAGTTTTTTCCATGTAGGTGCAGAGGGCTGGACTGTTTTAGTGCTCAGTAACTGGGTGCTAGCAACTCTGAACAGTTAATGTTGGCCCTGTTGATCCACCAAATACCAGAGCAGGTGGGCCACTGTGCCTCCACAGAGAGGTAGAGACTGACAGAGGCGACCGCTAGCCCAAGGTGCTCACACAGCTGGTGATGCCAGGGCTGCCACTTCTTCTGATGTTACAAAAGTCACAGACTGGGATTTTTGTTTGTTTGTTTAAGAGTTACTACTTATTTGTATGTATGTGTTTGTGTTTGTGGATATCCATGTGTGTCCAGGTGTGCACAGAGGCCAGAAGAGGGCAAAGATCTCCGGGAGCTGGAGTTATAAACAGTTGTACAGGGAGCTGGGAACCCAACTCCAGTCCTCCAAAAGAGTAGCAAGTACTCTTAACCACTGAGCCATCTTTCTAGCCCCATGCAGATCTGGATTTTGATATCAAATTTTATAATGTTCAAACATGTCCCTTAATTTAAAGAGGGCAGGGATGGAGCCAGACATGGTGGGAGCACACACTTGCAACCCCAAGTAAGGAGGCTAAGGCAGGAGGCCAGCATAGGCCACACAGTGAGACCTTTAAAAAAGAAACAGTCCTAGGACCGGAAGAAGGCCCCAACTCTTGGTTTCTAAACTCTTTAGTTTCACTGCCGCATACTGAGTTGAAGCTGCAGCGAGGATGCCTATTTTAAGAAAGATGGCAGACCTAAGGAAAGACAGCAGAGGGGCAAGAGGGCTAAACACAAAAACTCCACACCAGAGCTGAGCCTTGGCGCCTGCCCACCCTGCAGCAGCTGGACTGAACAAGGGCATGCGTGGTCCCCTGCAAAGTACTCCGCTCACTCACCGAAACTCCAGCCCAGGGGAGGCTCGATCTTCAGGATGAAATCCCCCTACAAGGGAAACCATGGAGTGTCAAGACAGGAGAACTGACAGCCCTGGTTTGACGGAGCGCGACGTCATTATTTGCCTAACCCATCCTCATCAGAAACAAAACACTACCCCAGGTTCTTCTAAATGAGGATTGCCAAGTAAAATCTGCCAAGTTTTAAGAAATGATTTTAAGAGGCTGGAGAGATGGCTTAGCAGTTAAGAGCATTTACAGCTCTTGCAATGGACCTGGGTTCAGTTCCCAACACCCACAAAGTGGTGTACAAACCCCCCTGTAACTCCAGTTCCAGGGGATCCGACATCCTTTATGGCTTCTGTGGGTATTGTACAACATCAGTACACTTACATACATGCAGGCAGACACTCATGCACATAAAACTAAAAATTCCTTATAAAGAAAAATGATTTTAAGCCACGTGTGCTGGTTCATGACTACCATCACAGCCCTCTAGATACTGAGGTGAGAGGATCACTGTGAACTCAAGGTCAGGCTGGGCTATATACTGAGTTCTAGGCCATGGTGGTTCCTGGATTCCCCTGGCAGGCAGCCAGCTGAAGCTGAATACCAGAAGTTTTCATCTGGCAACCAGAGATGCTCTGTTGAAGCCCACTGTTGAGCTCTAAAGATGAGCCAGCAAGATGGCTCAGCAGGCAAAGTGCTTGCTGTGCAAGCCTGATGACCCAAGGTCAAGCCCTGAAACCCACATAAAAATGGAAGGACAGAGCTGACTTCACAAGGTTATCTCCGACCTCTACACACACATCACAGTACACATACACCACACACACACACACACACACACACACTTTTTTTAATTAAAAAGACATTAGATTTAGCTACTTCTAGGTTTCTAGGTTGGGTTATTTTTAAAGAGGTTAGCATATAAACTATTTCATACAGGTGTCATTAGACTGCATTCTCTTATCATGCCCCTCCCTGTCCTTCCCTCATCCCATCTGTCATTTGGGTTTTTGTGCTTTCTTCTGAAACAAGAGTTTCACTCTATAGCCCAGGCTGGCCTAGAACTCAACATGTAGCCCAGCTTATCCTTGAGTTCACAGTGATCCTCTCGCCTCAGTCTCCAGAATGCTGCAATGGCTTAAAATCATTTTCTTTAAAAAGAATTTTTTTTTTAATTTTATATGTATGAGTGTCTTGCCTGCACATAAGTGTACCAATGTTATGCAATGCCCACAGAGGCCATAAGAGGGCATCAGATCCTGTGGAACAAGCCACTATGTGGGTGTTGGGAACTAAACCCAGGTCCATTGCAAGAGCAGTAAATGCTCTTAACTGCTAAGCCATCTCTCCAGCTCCTTAAAATCAATTCTTTTTTTTGTCTTTTTGAGACAGGGTCTCCCTGTAGTCCCAGTTGGCCTGAACTCACTATGTAGACCAGGCTGGCCTTGAACTCACAAAGATCCGCCTGCCTTTGCCTCCTAAGTGCTGAGACTAAAGGCATGCACCACCACGCCCGGCCAAAATCAATTCTTAAAACTAGATTTTACTTGGCAACCCTCATTTCTTGAGATTCACATTAACAGTTTAAAAAAAAAAAAAAAAAAACCTTCAAGGCCCAGTTAATTCCCTCTAAAATTTAACCCTATATGTTGTACATAAAGATGTAAATTCTGGAGTATGTACTGCTGTGTCATTAGTAACAATTTTAAAACTGAGAAAAGCCTGTGTGTGTCCACCAATAGAGAAGAGGTTACATGAATTACGGTCTGGGTTTGACTCTGAAGTCTGATGCAGCCACTAAAGAGGAAGCAACAGATCTCACTATGCATGCTGACAGTACAGCCTTCAAGAGAAAACAAAAACTTCCCATGAGACACTTTGCTACCATGAGAAAGAAAACCAAAAAACATAATAATGTGTGTTGTTTGATTCCATCTGCCTATTTCCCTGGCTATGGTCACATGTAATCCCAGCATTCTGGAAGCTGAGGGGGGAAAATTGTGATTTCAAGGTCAGCATGAGCTACACAGCAAGACTCTGTCCCAATAAAATACAATCAGGTGGCACTTGGGGGGGTGGAGATAGCATAAGAAGTTCAAGGTCATCTTCGGTTTCACAGGGAGTTCCAGGCTAGACTAGGTTACAGGAGACCCTAGCTCAAAACCTCCCCGACACACACAAAAAAAATGCTTATCGACAATTTTTGCAACTTTCTGTGAATCTCTATTTCCAAATAAAAAGTTGAGGAGGGAAGAATTACAGTGTAAACAGAAGTACATTTGGCTCCACATCTGTGCACTCATGTGTTTTTATGTTTCCATGTATGCACACATGTGTTCATAGATACTTGCATACTTCCAGACAGAGAGAAAGCAATCTGTTGAGACACATCTCAAAGGGTGGTAGAGAAATTTACTTCCTAAAGACCTTGATTTTTTTTTTTTTTCTTTTCCTATTCATGAAAACACATGAATTCCCATGGTGACTCTATAATTTTTTTTTTTTTTTTTTTTTTTTTTGGTCGTCTTTTTGAGGCAGTCTCCCTGTAGCCCCAACTGGCCTGGAACTCACTATGTAGACCAGATTGACCTCTATCTCACACAGCTTGGTCAGTCTCAACTCCACCCCCATCCCCAGTGCTGGAATTAAAGGTGTGTAACACCACGCCCAGTGTAATTTTAACAGTATTTTAAGCTGCTTGAAAACACAAGAATCAGGCCAGTGTAAGGTGTTCAGGCTCAGCAGAAAAAGGCACCTGCTGCTGGCCCAACAACCCATTCAACTCCCAGAACCCATGGATTGTCCGCTGACCTCCACATGTATGCCATGGCAGACATATACATAAATGAACCAATGTCTAAAAAATATGTAGGCTGCCTAGCTCACTCCTGGCCTGTTCTTCGCCAGAATGTCTAGAGACATTGTCAAGTGTGCTCTCAGACTGGCAGCCCCACCTATTCATTTAGACTGACCAATCCTTATCTACTACCCCCTGTGAAATTCAGCTCCTCTGGGGAGTTCCACATTCTACTCACCGTCACAAAGCATTTGCAAGAGGGGGGAAGACCAGGTTCCTGGTGAACACAGCCATGAATGGCTAATTATTTCCCATCATAAAAGCTAAGCAGTAAGACCAATGTCCTTGCCTCTTACCTTATCATACAAGGGGATCATAAAGTAGCCGTTGTTAGGAGCACAGTCCGTCTGGTATTTCAAAGTCCCATGCTTGGTGTACAACTTTATCTGGAAAGCAAGAGGAGAAAGCTGAAATAATACTGGCTTGGAGAATTAGATACCTGATGCCTGAGTGTGGTCTCAGTGTGAGTATGTTAGCTAAACATCTACTACAGGCCAGGGACAAGGGAAAGAAGACAAAGCACCCCCAAATTAAAATGATTTATGCTTTTTCAACTGAAAACCATCGATTCCTGGAACACACATAAAGGTGGGAAGAACTGACTCCACAAAGTTGTCCTCTGGCTCCATATACCCACACACACATGAAAACACACAGTAATAAATGGATTTTTTTTTTCCCAGATTCCCAAGGATGGAGCACGTAACTCACTGGCAGAGGGCTCGCCTATCATGTCCTTGGTTTCCCCAAAGGTGTTTAAAACAAAAATAAACAACTATCACAAATATCTCCAGCTTCCATGGAGGTTACAGCTCAGTGGTAGTGTCTGTCTAGCATGCACAAAGTGGTAGAGTGTCTGCCTAGCATGCACACAGCCCCGGGTTCCACTCCCAGCACTGCAATTAAGGTGGGGAAGGGAGGAGGTGAAAATGTAGACCCTGAACCTCTACCCCCAATCTTCTCAACTAAAAGGTCTGGGATGAGGGCTAGGTCCTGCACTATGAGCTCCAAATGATTCCACACACTTTGAAGAACATTCACTTAAGAATGCTTTACTGCCATCCTCAGAACAAAAATGGGTCTGAAAAGACAGTTAACATGTTTGCTCTCCTCAAAGCACCCTACAACTCCCACGTCCTACGCATTTGCAAACACATACTCTTCACCCAAGAGGCACAAAGTCCTATCTGGGTCTTTCTCCAGCATACTGGATGACTTTGAACAAGTCATTTTACCTCTAGAGGTGCAGCTTTCATGGGTAAAAATAGTAACAGCCCTGCTTCAGGGTGGCTGAGAAGCCTCACAGCAATGCATGGCAAGCACTTGGCACAGAGGACTGGACTCAAAATGAAAAGAGTATTACTATTTAATATCTCTCGGAAGAAAAAAGCCACTAAGAACAATCCACTGAGCACAGTGTTCTGGGCAAATTCCCTAAGCTGACCTGTATGTCTCAACAACTCCAAACCTCAGTGTTCTAATCTGTAAAAAGATACAGTTCAGTTTGATGGTATCGAACAGCCTAACCTCAAAATAAGAATGCTGGGGCCGGAAGAGATGGCTCAGCAGTTAAGAGCACTGGCTGCTCTTGCAGGACTGGAGTTTAGTTCCCAGCACCCTCATCAGGGAACTCACACCTGCCTGTAACTTCAGCTCTAGGAGATCCAACACAATCTTTTGGCCACTGCACTCACATGCACATACATTTACACATAAACTTAAAAAATAAATAGAATATGAATGCTCTGTAGCAAGAATGCAGAAACAGCTGAGTGGTCTTACCAGTTGAGAAGACTACAATCAGCAAGTCCCAACTTCCAGCTTGGGGAAGGGCCGTGACTGCAGTGCTCATGGGTGATAACCACAGCTCACACCCAACACAGGCCAGACCAGACAGTGCCTTATTTACTCCAGAGTTTGGCTTTCAGTTAAGTGTAAAAATGAATTTGTTCCAGACCACAAAGAAATTCAGATGCACAAACCAAAAATTCACCGGCCTAGAGGGTAAGGTGGTACCCACAGCTTTCACAATCATGAGCACCATTCTGCCCAAGCCATGCCCTGCGGCCTGCAGACCAGCTGCTTAGCAGGAGAAATCATGGGGATTCAGCGGGGAGGGGGTATGGTGTGTTTGTGTGGTGTGTGTGGTATGTCTGTATGGTGTATTTATGCAGTATGTGTATAGGTATGGTGTGTATGGTGTTTGTGTGGTGTGTATACGTGTTATGTGTGTTTGTATGGTGTGTAAGATGTATATTTATATGCGTATGGTGTGTGGAGTGCATGCGTGTAGTGTGTAGTGTGTATGAAGGGCAAAGGACACCCCTGGGAATAGTTTCTCAGGAGCTGTCCACCTTGTTTATTGAGATGGGGGTCTCTTCACCGGCCTGGAGCTCACCAAGTAGGTTAGGCTGCCTGGTCAGTGAGCTTCAGGAATCTGCTTCTTTTCTCTTCCCCAATGCTGAGAACTCAGGTTTTCATGCTTACACAGTGGCACTTTACTGACTGAGCCATTCCCCCCAACCCTAGACCCCATTTTGTGTGGAAAAAATCTGACTGTTAAAGAGCACGAGAAGCACGGCCAATGCTTCTTTTTGCTGCACAGGCTGCTGTGAAAGGACAGGACATCAAACCGAGAGCTCCGTCTGCTCCACCCTCTGCTCTGCCCTATCTGTATCTGGAACAAGGCTTCAGTGAGCACTGGGGCTCAATACAGAGCTGCTAACTAAAGGAACCTGATACCCAGGAGGGAAGGGCTGGGAAGAGTGAAGATAGCCGAACAAAACACAGAAGACAAACTGCTGTGAACAGCCAGCGTAGTGGCACAACCCCTGGAATCCCATTTGGGAAGCTGAGGCAAGAGGATTAGAAGTCCCAGGCCAGCCTGGACCTGCCTTTTTTTTTTAAAAAAAAAAAAAAAAAGAGGAAGAAGAAGCAATGGAGAAGGAAGAATAACTGAAATATCCCGCCTGAGGTGTTATAAAATACATTATATTGGCAAATTGTCACGTACTGTGTGAGCTGAGACTTGTTCCCAAGCACGTTTGTCTCAAAGTGTCCTCCAAGGCCCCTTGTCTGGAGATGCCCCCCCCCAAATCCATAACAAGGAAGGAACAGCAAAACAGTCCAAGAGTAAAAACTACGTCCGTGAGAAGAGCTAGAAGGCAAACCATTTCCAACAGAGGTTACTGTTGTTTACCCCATGATGTAAAATGCCTGCTGTGGGGACAGGAAACCTTGAGTTCAGCCTTGGAAAGCTCAGCTGTGGAAAGCTCAGCCATGCAGAGGAAAGGAACCAGGAAGTCCAGCTGACTGCCTCAATTTCCCTGCTTGGTTTCTGCTGGATGTTGGGAGTGCCCATTTGAGGATGTCATCTGCTATCTGTTCTTTTACTTTAACCCAGGGGGACACTATGCTCTGCCAGAGACTCTCTATTGGGAATTCAACAGGGTTCCCTCAATTTCTGCTGGATGCTCTGAACACTCAATTTGATGATGTTTTGCTATCAATCTATTTGCTGCTCACTACTTAAAGTCCTTTATTTCGGCTTGCTATATACTTAATAAACTCATTAAAAACCAAAAGTGTGACTATCATAGATCATTCTCTAGACAGTATAGAACACGTGTCCTTTGTAAAGTACAGATCAGAAAACAGGAGGGCAATGTAAAGTAAATCTACATGGAGCTAACACAAATGAAACATCTGATGTCATAATCAAAATTACAAAAGCGTGAGTGTCTCCAACCGTCTGGACAAAGAGCCTTAGGCTCAAGGAACACACTTCACAACGGGCCACAAAACCCACTCTCTGCCCTCCAGATCACAGTTGGTACTGGGGTGAGGGCACTCCTGACTGCCTCTTCCTTCCTCCCAGAGCTCCAGGAAACAAGTTGAAAAGCTTTTCCCAGGCAATTTCTGAGATGCCCAACACCTGCAAGTCCAGGAGTTGGCACAGGCACACAGTAACATGTCCCAGCAGCTCCCAGGAGCTGTGGAGACTGAAAACAGGTAGAGGGAGGCAGGCAGCTCTTGTAATACCAGCGCTTCGGAAATGGAGGCAAGAGGGTCAGCAGTTCAAAGCCAGCCTTGGCTACAAAGTGAGTCTGAGGCCAGTCTAGGCTATATGAGAGCCTCTCTCAACAAATAAGAAAATGAAATGTCAATCAATTAATCAGGGAAAGAGGCAGCACAAAGAGGGCTTGGAAGAGGATGATCGATGTTGTTCTTTAGGAAATCACACTTTGAGTTTCTCCGCTTGTAACCACCATCTTACAGGCAGAAAACCCGGACTTCGTGCAAGGCTGGGCCAAGGGACTCTCAAGATCTGGAACAAACGACTTAACCTTCCCCCCCAACGCTCAGAAACACGTTAAGAGTGGGTTAACACTTCACTGCCAGCACTGGGGCCGCTCAAAAGCTCGACGATGCCATGTGAAGTGGCACTCCCCAGGCCTTCTCCGCACCCCTTCCTTTTCTCTCAGGTTGCCTCTGGGACACCTGTCCTTTGTCTCTTCCCGTTCCCCCTCGCTTCTCCTGCCCCACTATCATTTTCCTTAGAAAACCCAGGCCCAGCTCTAGCTCCAGTCCCCTAGTCCTTCTTCCACGCACCCCAATTTCCTCCTCACCAGCTTTCTAGGTCAGAATCCCATTGGGTTGATGATAACCATTTCACGAGCATCCAATTTAATCAAAAATCTTCACACATCTCTAGTTTAATTCCAGCAACCACGCAGGGTGGCAGACAGCGCTCCATTTGCTAAGGGAAAGGTGTAGGGGGCAGCGGGAGGCAGCTCCTCCGCCCCATGTGTCAGGGTCTACGCGATCGGAATGGATGCTCTTTAAACACCCAGGGAGGACGGAGCGGCGATGGAGCCGAACATTGGGAGGCCCTAGGTTTAGGAGTCTGAGAGTGACACGTGTGGTTTCCAGGTTCTGCAACACGAGCTCGGGGAGTTCTGAGTTCCCGGGGCCTCGGATCTGCAAAGCCGGGGTCTGGCAGGTCCCCTGCCCGCCACCCCGATGGTGCGGAGCCCGCGGAAGGCGAGGCCCCGGGAACGCACGGCCGCTGGAAGCCGCCCACGTCGCAAGTCCGGCCCGCGCGGCCCGAAAGGCTGAGCGCCGCACCCGGGGGTCACACAGCCAGCCGGGCCGGGCGGCTCACCTCAATGAGCGAGTAGTTGATCTCCACGTCCGACTTGACGAAGCCCCCGCAGCCCACCACGATGTCCTCGGAGCCGCCCGTCTGCCCCACGCCACTCAGGAGGAGCAGCAGCAGAAGCGCCTCGGCGCCGCGACCCGCACGCATGGCCCGGCCGCTCCGCCGACCCTCCGCAGCCCGCCGGTCCCGCCCCTCACAGCACGCTGCCGGGTTCTTCCTCCTCCTCGCTGGCCAGAGGAGCCCAGGCCCCGCCCCCCGGCACGGTTCTGCGCAGGCGCACTGCGGCCCGACGCCCACGCCCCCAAGAAAGACGGTCGCTGGGTCTCTCTTGCCGCTTGAGCCCCCTGGAGGCCTGGAGGACTCCACGCACTCTGGCAGGTGCAGCGCTTACAGACACAACCTCTGAACAGAATTCCACTTCAGACTCAATTGCCAGGGCTGGAAAAGACGAGAGGGTGTTTGGGTTTTTTGTTGTTGTTTTAATATTAATAAGTCCCAATGCCAGGGCTGTAAAGGGTGAGAGGGGTTTAGGGTTTTTAATTGAAGTATTAACAAGGCTTAAGTCTTTTTGAGCTGCATGTTTCACAAGTCAGATGAAATCTCGAAAAGCCCTTTAGAAACTGGATGTGCTTCTCCTTCCTACTTCCCCCTCTCCCTCTCTTATCTTAAACTGTATATTAATATCTTTTCTTAACTGGGAAAATTCAAGGCCTGCCTAAGCTACAAAGCGAGTTCAAAGCCAACCTGGGCAACTTAGCGAGACACTGAAAATAAAATGTAAAAAAATCAAATGACTGGGGCTGTAGCTCAGTGCTTGCTAATAAGACCCTAAGGTTCAATCCCCAGCACACAGCACACGCATGCGGGGGCACACACCGCAGACACAGACACACACACAGACACACACACAGACACACAGACACACACACAGACACACACACACACTTAGTGTGGTTTGCAATCCCTGTATGAAGTGGGCTGAGGCAGGGGGATTCTCATGAGTTCCAGGCCAGCCTGGTTTACACAGGAAGTACCAAGCTGACCAGAGTTGCTGTAATATGAGAGAGAGGGACAGAGAGGGAGAGGGAGAGGGAGAGGGAGAGGGAGAGGATCACGCTCAGTCAGGACAGGTAGGCCCACACCTTTATAGGGCATGTAAGGTTTGACTTACAGGTGAGGAGGGTTATGTCTCAGGTCCTGAGCACCCCCAGAGCCTGGATGTCTGGGGGATGCAGACTTTCCTCAGTGCTTGTGAGGATAACTGAGTTGATGGCTTAGTCAGTTTGATCCCCAGAACCCATGTGAATATGCCAGGAGTAGTGGCCCACACTTAGAATCCCAGCACTAGGGAGGTGGAGACAGGAGGATCCCTGGGGCTCCCTGACCAGCCTGGGTAGCCTGCTTGATGATCTTCACAACAGTGAGAGACCCTGTCTCAAAAGAGATGGATCACCTTCCTGAGATCAAACCCTCAAGGTCCTCTGACCTCCACATGCATGTGTACAAACATGCACACGCACACATAAGTACACATGCACATGAAGAAATTTGTGCTTCAGCATATTTTCTACATTAAATTATATGTTTGGTTTGAGACAGGGTCTCACTGTGTAGCCCCATCTGGCCTGCAACTCTGCCTCCTGAGTGCTGGGATTAAAGGTGTACAGCCCCATACCCAGTAAATGATGTTTCCTTAAGCAAAATATGTTATTTAAGTTCAGCATAATATCAAAGAAGATATTTAAATTTTACTTTAATCCCAACTCCAATATTTGAATAGACACATATTTGAAGTTTCTTCCCTCCCACAAGCCTGAGATTCATTGAGTTTATTTTGAGTTCATTCTCTCAAATGAATTCACACACAATGAATAAACAAAGGCAATTTAAAAAATATATCATGAAATAAAGTGGCAGGGTGGGGGGGAATGTCAGGGGGTGGCACACAAGGAAAAGGGGCTCTGGTTTTCCTGTACTTTGTATCAGCAACCTCCAGAATTGCCCCCGAATAAACAGATGAGATGTAGCTGTCCACCAACAGCAGACTTACTCCACTCAGTTCAGGACAAATCTAGGTTATTTGTTGCTTCACTCTTGCAGACGATTCCGGTAGGCAGACAGCTGTGCCTGCTGCACAAGGGCACAGGAGACAGACCCCAAAAGATGGGGCAAAACAAGGCTAGGAAATCCATCCTGCCAAGGCCGTGCAGGAAGAGAGGATGGAGAAAAAGATGGGACAAGAGCTGAGAGGAACAGAAGACAGGTTTCATCCTCCCCCACACAGACTGTCTGGGCCTGTCTGTCCAAAGCTGTTTTTCAGTCACATCTTAAAAGGAACACATACTCATTACAGAAAGGGAGAAGATGACCCAGGATGGTGGTGCATGCCTTTAGTCAGGCACTCAGGAGTTAGAGGCAGGTGGATCTTTGTGAGATCAAGGTCAGCCTGGTCTACAGTAGAGAGTTCAAAAAGAAGATTTTTTTTAAAAAAAGAAATGGGGCTGGAGAGATTGCTCAGTGGTTAGGAGCACTGGCTACTCTTACAGAGAACCTGGGTTCGATTTCCAGCACCCACATGGCGGCTAACAACCCTCTGTAACTTCAACACCTTCTTCTGACCTCCATGGGCATTGCACAACAGGGGTGCACTTACACACATGTAGGCAATACACTCATACACATAAAAAAAATAAAATAAATAAAATATTTAAAAACAAAAAGAAAGGGAGAAGATGGAAAAAGAATTTAGGAGTCCCTATGATCCTAATTTAGTCTTAATAAATTTCCAACTTTTTATCTGTACATATATGATCATGCAACACAGAACCATTTGTTTGTTTTTCAGTGCTGGGAGTAGAATCCAGAATGACAAAAGCTGACTGTCTTGCTTTAAGACTTCTGAGATCCTCCCCTTCCCTTTCTTTTTGTTCAAAAAATTATATCCTAGTTGGGCGTGGTGGCATACACCTTTAATCAGAGCACTCGGGAGGCAGAGGCAGGCAGATCTCTGTGAGTTCAAGGCCAGCCTGGTCTACATAGTGAGTTCCAGGACAGCTAGGGCTACAGGGAGACCCTGCTTCAAAAAGACAAAAAAAAATTATATCCTATTGTATGCTATAATCTATTTCATGGTATTAGAAGCTGCCTTTCCATATTAACATTTCTGCAACATCATTTTATTTTTTAAGATGTGATTTATTATTTTTATGTTATACATGTAAAATGCCTGTGTTGCCTGCATGTATGTAAGAGCATCTATGTCATACAATGCCTCAGAGGATAGAAGAGGCTGTTGGATCCCCTGGTACTGGAGTTACGGGCAGTTGTTAGCTGCCATGTGGGTGCTGGGATTCATGTCAGGGTCTTCTGCAAGAACAGCCAATCTTCTTAACTGCTGAGCCATCTCTCCAGCCCCTTGCAACACTACTTTAAACTGCTGGTTTGTAACTGATGGATTAAATAATATAAATACTACTAATAAATAATCTAATTTATTGAGCATTTACTGTGTGACTTGTACTGCAATAAACTCTTTACTTTTAAAAATATTTAAAATTTTTAAAAATTATATGTATATGCAAGGGTACAGGCAGAGTCAGAAGAGAGCATTCTATCCCCCTAGAGCTAGAATTACAGGTGGTTGAAAGCTACTTAATGTGGGTACTGGGAACCAAATTCTGGTCCTCTGCAAAAACAGTATGCGCTTAACCCTTATTGCTGAGTCATCTCTCCAGACCCTGCTAAATTCTTTTTCTTTTAAAAAAAAAAAAAAAAAAAAAAAAAAAGGCTTTTAAGGGGCTGGAGAGATGGCTTAGCAGTTAAGAACACTGGTTGTCCTTGCAGAAGACCCAGGTTCAAGTCCCAGTACCCACATAGCAGCTAACAACTGTCCATAACTCCAGTTCAGGGGATCTGACAGCCTCTTCTGTCTTCCCTGAGCATTGCACGACATTGCATGACATGGGTACACTTATCTACATGCAGGCGATACACACATACACATAAAATAAAGATAACAAATAAATTTTAAAAAATATTTTATTTTTATTTTATGTGTATGAGTGTATTGCCTGTGTGTATGTGAGTGTACCCGTGTCATGCAATGCTACGGAGGTCAGAAGAGGGCTTCCAATTCGCCTGGAACTGGAGTTAAGGACAGTTCATAGCCGCCATATGGGTGCTGGGAATCGAATCTGGGTCCTCTGCAAGAGCAGTCAGTGCTCTTAACCACTGAGACATCTCTCCAGCCCCATAAAATTTTTTTTTTAAACTTTTTTACTTTATGTCTACACGTGTTATGCCTGCATGTATGTAAGTGCACCCATGCCATGCAGTGCCCACGGAGGTCAGACCACCATGTGGTGCTAAGATTCTAACTCAGGTCTCCTGCAAGAGCAATCAGTGCTCCTAACTGCTGAGCCATCTCTCCAGCCCTGCTAAATGCTTTTCTTTTTAAATTTTTTAAAATTTATTTTATGTATATAAATGTTTTGCCTGCATGTATGTGAATGCACCCATGTCAGCAATGCCCATGTGGGCCAGAAGAGTGTGTCAGATCCCCTGGGACTGGAGTTATAGATAATTGTGAGCCATCATGTGGGTGCTGGGAACTGAACCTGGGTCCTCTGCAAGAGCTGACAGTGCTTTTTAACCTCTAAGTCATCTCTCCAGCCTCTCAATTCTTTTCTTAAGACTGTTCTTGAGAGCCAGGTATGGTATGGTGGTACATGCCTTTAATCCCAGCACTTGGGAGGCAGAGGGCAGATGTCTGTGAATTCAAGGCCTGTCTCAAAAAGAGCCCCCCCCCCCCAAAAAAATAGAATTTTCTTGTTCTGGGTGCGATAGCACACTTGCCATCCCAGCACTCAAGATGCTGTGGCCAGCCTGGTCTAAGACTCTCCTTAAATTCCTCCCAGCGCTCTGCATCTAGACAATGCCCATCCTCTGTGGCTGAACACTGGTTACTAGGATCTCCTACTGCAAACGTGCACACCTAGCCGTCCTTTCCACCGGGTCCACTCTTGCAGTTGCTGAATCCAAAGTTTTCGACAAGTTTGGGAGGGACTTAACGCAGAGAGGAAGCCTGGAGGTGTCACTGCATTTTTCAGGGGTTCCGGGATCACTCCAAGAGCCGCCCTCCCGGGCCTCCCTCCACGCCGCACCTCTGCGCACGGCTGGACCTTGCCCCTGGCCTCCGATTTCCCAGCTCCAATCCCAGTCAAACCGCCCGGTCCTCCTTTTCCCTGGCCGGGAGCTCGGCGCCGAAGGTTGCTCTGGGACAGACAGACCGACAGGCAGACAGACGGACGGAGGGCGCCCATGGCCGCGCCCGAAGAGCCTTGCCCCGGCCGGGAGGTGAGTCCCATGGGCCCACTCCTTTTCCTGGCTCCAGGGATAACTCCAGCTGCGGCTAGGAAAGCGATACTTCCCAAATTCTTGACCTCCGGGAAGCCTGAAGACCAGGGAGAGCAGAGACCCCTTCACCAAACCCGGCCCCTTGGGAAGCCCAGCATGGTTTAAGGGGTCTGCAGACCTGCCTGCTGCTGGGGGCTTTGACTTTCATTTGCTTAAAGCAAATGGTCCCACTCCAAGCCTTTTCACCTTCAGAGAATCCTACTGGGACCTCTGGACCGCCTCTACACGTAGCTTCTGCCTATAGCCTACTCCAGGACCTGGGGTCCCATCAGGTCAGGACCAATACAAAAGGCTTGCTCTACCCCAGCACGTGTAGGACTGTGAGCCTGACCACTATTAGCTCATCTAGGGAGATTTCCACCCTCCACTCTTTACAGGAAGGGAAACTGAGTCAGAGAGCTGGTGAGTGGTCAGAGCCGGCTCTGGTACTTCCTATTTGTGTGGTTCCAAAGCCGGTTCTTCCCCGCTTGGCACCTTAGTCTACTGGTGCCAACTGCAATCGGAGTTCTTATAAAGACTAATAATCAAACCAGACATAGTGTCACTCATCTATAATTCTAGCACTTGGGAAATTGAGGCAAGAAAATCTTAAATCCAGCCGGGTGTGGTGGTGCATGCCTTTAATCCCAGCACTCAGGAGGCAGAGGCAGGCGGATCTCTGTGAGTTCAAGGCCAGCCTGGTCTACACAGTGACTTCCATAGAAAGAAAGAAAGAGAGAAAGAGAGAAAGAAAGAAAGAAAGAAAGAAAGAAAGAAAGAAAGAAAGAAAGGAAGGAAGAGAGAAAGAAGGGAAGGAAGAGAGAAGGAAGGGAAGGAAGAGAGAAAGAGAGAAAGAAAGAAAATCATAAGTTCAAAGCCTGGACTACCCAGAGAGATCCTACTCTCTGGCTTCAAACTCCAGCACCACTGCTTCCCAGCTGGGCAACTTCAGGCAAGTTCTTCACCTTCTCTGGGCCTCTGCTTCCCCATCAGCTAAACCAGTGTGTTAACTGCATCTGCCTTATGGAGTTGATGTTAGGATGAAAAGACTTGAGAATGAAGAGGAATGCCAAAGGGGGCTTGAACTGTTTTTAAGTAAACATCTGAGCCATATGCAGGTAGGCTTGGGACCCAGGTGGCATATCATCCTAACAGTGTCCCACCATCCTAAGGTGTCCCCGTGTTCCCTTCAGGCCTGGAACCAGACAGAACCAGAGCCTGGGGCCCACCACCTGCTCAACTTGTGCTTCCTGAGAACAGCAGGGGTCTGGGTGCCCCCCATGTACCTCTGGGTCCTTGGCCCTATCTACCTCCTCTACATCAACCGCCATGACAGTGGCTACCTCCGGATGTCCCATCTCTTCAAAGTCAAAATGGTAACCACTGCTACAGGGATCTTGGAATCAGGGAGAGAGAAGAAGGTACGAGGGTTGGGGCATGCTGGAACCTGGCATAGACTCCATTCCTCTCATCAGCAAGAGCACAGAACAGAGGCAGAAGGGAATCTGTTAGCCAAACAGGTCATCAGTGAACAGGGGACAGAGGTAAACTCACAGGACAAAGTTCCCACAAACAGATTTTGTGATTGTGCAAACCCACACATACTCAGACACACACAGAGACATACATGTGTACCTGTACCGGGCACAGCTGCAGTGACCCGTTGTTTCTCAGTCTTCTGTGCATGCTTTAGGATATAAAAGGTAATTTTAGGGCCACACAGAGATGAGTCTTTTAAAAACTTTAGCAGCCATTTTTTTTTTTTTGACTCAGGTTTTCATGGAGCCCAGGCTGGCCTTGAACTTTACTTTGTAGCTAAGGATGACATTGAATGCCTGATCCCCCTGCATTCAAGTGTTGAGATTAGCAGCATGTACCACCACACTCCACTTATTTTCTTGTTTTATTGGGAGGGGGATGGGACAGGGATGACATGGGACTGTGGGTCGAACCCAGCACAACATGCACACTAAGCATAAGCAACACTCCTGGCCAGTTACACACGTATTTCCATGCTTCCCTACTGGCAGTGCAACTGAGCATGTCTGAATTGCTATGTATTTATTTTAGTGTTTTGGATAAATGCTGGCATTCTGAACATAAGCTTTTCCACTCATTCATCTCATCTTCCAGACTCCTCAAGAATGTTCTTGCAGTTCATTCATTCCCTGCCAATTTGCCAATTTTTGCTCTGCTGCCTTCTGTCCTACACAGGGATTGGCAAAATGAACGGCTCTACGGGTGCCTATCCGGCCACATGGTCTCCCTTCCAAATATTCAACTAAACCAGGCATGGTGGCTGCCTGTAATCCCAGCTCTTCTAGGGTGGAGGCAGGAAGATCAGGAGTTTGAGGCCAGCCTGGGATACATAGCAAATCCCAAACCCAGCTCAGTTGTTCACGCTAGGCAAGTTCTCTACCACTGAACCATACCCTAGTCCAGTCGCTCACCTGGACTTAATAGTAGAGACTACATATGGCTTGAAGAGAATGTCATGCCTGGGACTCTTAGGACAGATAGACCAGTGCTGGGTAATGGGTAATAAAGGAATTCACCAGGGCATAAGAAGGCAGAAGTAGAGTTTATTAGGTATGCTGTGGTACAGCTGCAGCATAAGACTGTAGAGAGAGACTGCACAGAGGTATTCTGGGGCAGGTCTCACAGGAGAAGTTCTGCAGGGGTGATCAGCCACGTTTCAATGTCATCAGGCTCTGGAGTAATTGCAGTTGGGGCTGCTCGTAGTTAGCAACTGTCTGACCTTGAGACAAGGATAGTCTTGCCTTGAATCAGAAATGACTGAGCCTGACCACCTATCCTAAACTGGCATCCACATCTTACCCCTGACAGATGGATCATGTCCATCTGTGACATCTGGATGAAAGTCTCTTTTTCAATAGCTTCTTCAAGCTGGTCAGAGAAGGTTCTCTGGACCTACCTATTGTTGATCTGACAGGGGTTCATGAGGGAAACAGAGTGGGAAATGAAAGTATAAGGTGACCCATTCCAAGGGACTAAGGTGTGGAGGCTCTAGAGAAGCAGTTGGAACCTCTACACCAGCATTATCTTTAAGTGGAATTGCTAGATTTTAGGGTCCAACATCTTTGCCATCTATATTGGTGACCCAGGCTGGTTAGGTTGAGGATGAGCATCTATTGGTATAAGTAACAGTCAATTTGTTGGCTGCAGAGTCTCACAGAAGCTTTGGCCCCATTTGATACAGTGTAGCATGGTATTTTATATCTAATTCAGAATAGATGGACTAATAGCTTTATTGTACAACTATTCAAAGTAGAATCTGTTGCATTTTAGAAGAAACAAACCTTATTAGCCTTTGAAATATAGAGCAATATAAGAAATCTTACCAGAGGAAAAAGACAAACCAATCACCACCACACTTATCTAAGCAATGATTGGAAAACAGGCCATGAGAAGAAAGAGCAGTGACAGGCCTGCAATGCAGGGAGAGGTCTGTCCGTTGGGAAGACGGGAACCTGCTGTGCCATGGTGGACAGAGGTTTAGTTTCAAGTGGATGCCCCTGGAAGGCAGGAGAAGATAAAGGCAGACTTAAATCTATTCAGTGAGTGGCTATCAGTTACTCAGACTGTCCTGGGGGCCTTCTGGGCTCTCAGACTCATAGGAGGAGTTAAGGGATATGTTTTATGTTTTTATAATCAGTGTTCTTTTCTATTATATTTTGTATTAGCTTCTTTTCTGTTGCTATGATAAAACACCCTGACCAAGGCAACTTATAGAAGGAAGAGTTTATTTGGCTTATGGTTCCAGAGAGAAGGAGTCCATCTTGGCAGGGACGCATGGTGATTGGAGCAGAAAGCTGAGCGCTCACAACTCAGGCATTCACAGGAAGCAGAGAGGGTGAAACTGGGAACAAGGCTAGGAACTCTCAATGCCCACTCTCAGTGACATGCTTCCTCCAGCAAAGCCGTACCTCTTAAACCTCTGCAAACAGCACCATTTACTGGGGCCAAGTTTTCAAATACTTGGAGCCTATGGGGGACATTCTCACTCAAACCACCACAATTGTATTTACTATTTATTTATTTATTATTTATTTATCTGTTTGATGTGCGTGTGTGTGTGTGTGTGTGTGTGTGTGTATGCACAAATGCCTTATCAAACATGTGGCTGTCAAAGGACAATTTGCAGGAGCCAGTTCTTTCCTTACCTGCTCAGCCCTTACCTGCTGAGCTATCTCACTGACCCAAGGGATTTTTTTTTTTGAAAGACTAGGTTAAAGTATAGGTTGTGTAGGTCAAACCTGGTGATGAATATAACAGACCCAACTGTAATGAAGGCTTTTTTTTTCCTGCAAAAATAGAGGAAACCAAAACACAGACTTGGGTTTGTATTTATTTAGAGCCAGACAAATTAGTTTTGACAAAAGGATAGAACATCTTGAAAAGATTTTCACAAGGCTGGAGAGATGGCTTGGCAGTTAAGAACGCTGGCTGCTCTTGAAAAGGATCCAGGTTTGGTTCCTGACACTCACCGGTAGCTACCAACCATCTGTAACTCCCATTCCAGAGGATCTGATACTCTCTTCTGGCCTCAAGGGGCATTGTATGCTTGGGTGCACTTACAGACATGCAGGGCAAACACTCATACATAAACCAAAATAAATTAAATTTTTAAAAAAGAAAGGATTTGAGCCGGGTGTGATGGCGCACGTCTTTAATCCCAGCATTCGGGAGGCAGAGGGAGGCGGATCACTGTGAGTTCAAGGCCAGCCTAGTCTACATAGTGGGTTCCAGGACAGCTGGGGCTACAGGGAGACCCTGTCTCAAAAAGACAAAAAAAAAAAGCAAAGAAAGAAAGAGAGAGAGAGGGAGGGAGGGAGGGAGGGAGGAAGGAAGGAAGGAAGGAAGGAAGGAAGGAAGGAAGGAAGGAAGGAAGGAAGGAAGGAAGGAAAGGATTTGCTTGATAGGGCACAAATAAGTGTAGGCATAGTGCTACTAAAGTATCCAGTATTTAGGCCAAGTGTGAGGGCTCACACTTCTAATCCCAGCACTTGGGAGGTAGAGGTAGGAAGATCAAATTTGAAACTACCCTGGTGAATACAGCAAGTTCCAGGACAACCAGGTCTATATAGAGAGACTCTGTCTCAAAGAAAAAAACAAATGGGGGTGTGGGCTGAAGAGATGCCTCAGCAGTTAAGAGCACTTACTGCTCTTCTAGACAACCTAGAACCATGGGTTCCCAGTGCCCATGGCAGGCAGCTCACAGTCACCTGTAACTCCAGCTCCAGGGGATCTGACACCCTCTTCTGGCCACCACAGACACTTGCAGGCACATACAAAAATGCACATAAATAAAAATAAATATTTTTTTAAAGGGCAAGCTGGGTCTTGGGGCACATGCCACTAATCTCAGCACTCAGGAGGCAGAAGCAGGGTGATCTCTGTGAGTTCAGCTGCATGGTGAGACCCTGTCTCAAAAATAAAAACAGAAAACCAGCATGGGCAAGATGCCTCAGTGGGTAAAGGTGCTTGCCACCGTAGGATGCTCTCCGACTTCCGCAGAGGTACTGTGGCTCGTGGGCCCCCATACACTCACATACAAACAAATAAATGGCAATTAAAATTGTAAAGCTGCCTGTTTCTCACTAGGGTAATTTTAAACAGGAGCTGTGTGTCACGTTCCATAGACTGGCTTCTCTGCAGTTGGTCCTGGGGGCTTTGAGGAGAGTGTAAGTTCTCAGTCAGTTTACTATTCCAACGGAGCTCTCATATATCACCTCGAGTGCTTTTTCTCTTGGATAGGTGAACCAGTCAGTAATTTCCTGGAGTTTGACAATTGTTTGAGCACGTGATAAGAGTTGATAATATCCCTTTTAATTAGCTGAAGTTACCTTGACTGACCATCTTTTTATTATTTATTTACTTATTTATTTACTTATTTGAGACAGGGTCTCCCTGTAGCCCCAGCTGGCCTCGCACTTGCTGTGTAGACCAGGCTGGTCTTGAGCTCACAGCGATCCTCCTGCCTCTGTCTCCCGAGTGCTGGGATTAAAGGCATGCGCCACCATGGTTGGCAAGTGACTGTCTTTAAAGAGCTTTAAGAACACTAGATCCCCTTGCTAAACTGGATTTGGATGATAATTCTAGTTAGAAGCTGGTAAAATTTGTTTTATAGTATTACTAATGATTTTAATTTTTTTTGATTTACGCATTTTTATTTTATGTGTATCAGTGTTTTGCCTGTATGTATGTAGGTATACTTGTGCATGCAATGCCCACGGAGGCAGAAGAGGGCATCAGAACCTCTGGAATCGGAATTACAGACAGTTGTTAACTGCTGTGTGGGTGCTGGGAACCAAATCCGGGTCCTTTAGAAGAACAGCCAGTGTTCTTTACTGCTGAGCCATCTCTCCAGCTCCTGATTTTACTTTTTGGTTATATTTTCCTGTTGGGTATTTAAGACCATGTAGACCAAAAAATTAACCTTTTTTTTTTGCTGTTAAGGTCAGCCAAAGGTTCATTAGGATTACTCTTAGGGACACAGGAGACCCTGGTTCCTTATTTAATTTTTTTCTCCACCAGTTGTGTTATCTGCTGGGGTAGAACAGGGTCTTGCTTCCCATGTGGCTTGGAGGTATAGGGGACACTTCTCCCTCTAATGATTTTCCTCTTTTCAGGGTGGGAACTGATTCAAGGCCAACCTCTTGGGCCTCCATGGTCTATCTGATCAAGAGAACAAGTGATTAATCAGAGTTCTAGGGCCCTTTAAGGGGAGGTCTCATCGTGGTCTTCTGGGTCCTGGCTGCCCTACAGGGCAAAAGCCAAAATATTGACTGTCCTTTGGCAGACATTCCCTTTGGTTTTGGCCTCTAAATTTTGGTTGTTGAATACCCAGGAGGACAGTTTTATAGAATTTGTAGAGGAAAGATGGGTTTTAATTTTACTTTTGTGTAACATTTAGGTGAAGTTTATATAAAAACAGATTTTTTTTGGGGGGGGTCCTTTTTGAGACAGGGTCTCTCTGTAGCCCCAGCTGTCCTGGAACTCACTATGTAGACCAGGCTGGCCTTGAACCCCCAGAGATCTGCCTGCCTCTGCCTCCCGAGTGCTGGGATTAAAGGTGTACGCCACCACACCCAGCAAAAACAGATTTTTAATAAAGCTTGACTTTTTGTTTTTGTTTTTGAGACAAGGTCTCACTATGCAGCCCTGGCTGGTCCAGAATTTGCTATGTAAACCAGGCTGGCCTCAGACTCACAGAGATCTTCTTGCCCCTGCCTCCCAAGTGCTGGGATTGAAGGAGTGTGCCACCATGCCCAGCAATAAGTCTTAATAAAAAGACAGTTTTTCAAGTAGTTAAAAGCCTCACAAACTTAGCAGAAGATGTAATCCTTTTCTTGATAAAGCAAAGTCTTTGTTCTTTGAGTTTGTTTTAAGGTCACCAGGAGCAAATCTGTGTCTTAAGAAGAACTTCCTGCTTTAACTAGAGGACTAGATTGAAGTTTTATGTCAGTGAACTGAATTCTAACCTTGGAGATTTCAGCAACCTTTAATATCATAATCATCTGTATACCATCTTGAAGTTTTACATTTCCAGAACTTTTGTGACTTACTCTGACCCTCTGAAACTTTCTTAAGCTTTCTGGTTTTGTACTCATCTTTTGTTTTTTATTTTGGAAATATCCAATCATTTTACCTTAGGGCAAAATCCTATCTTAGCATACAATCCTTCCTTATCCAAAACAAATCGCCTTTTTTTTTTTAACCTTCCTTACCAAAACTATATCACTGTATCTCACACTTATATTCTCTTTCACATTATAATCATATCAACATAAATACATTTACTAAAAGAAGGTTGAATCTAAATTGCATTTATGACATAATATGACACACTAAGACTACCTGTTTACAGTTTTTGTTTTGTGTTTTGAGACAGGGTCTCATGCAACCCAGGCTGGCCTAGAACTTGCTATGTAGCTGAGGCTGATACTGAAATTATGACCTGTCTGCCGCCACTTTCCCAGTGCTGGTATCACCAGCCTGTGCCACCACCCTCACCTCCACGTTGTTAAATTCTAAGGTTCATGCTTGCTGTAGGCCTTGGACAGATCTTGTTGCTTGGATTCTTTTAGGCTCATTTGGCACTTTTTCTTGGCATCACTAGAGTCTGAAAGTTTCAGAGTGTTGCATTTTTGCGAAAGTTGGTAAAGATAATCGATGACTTTGGACAGTGGATTGTGTTAGTGTAAAGGGGGGGAAATACTAAGAGCCAAAAAAAATCTTTGTGTGCCAACCCTGTGATTGTAGTTGGGGTACAAAAGGCATCTCCTCCCTTGAATATCTGGGAGAGCTAGCAAATGGCTACTTTTTTTTTTTTTTGAACAAGGGGCAGAAGGAGAAGGAGGAAGAGAAGGAAGAGGAGAGAGAGAGAGAGAGAGAGAGAGAGAGAGAGAGAGAGAGAAAACACACATTGATGCAGGCTGGACAGGATACTGGCTGTTGGTCCAGCAACAGCAGGTTGGATGCAGAGCATTTGTCTTCTTCTTTACAATATTTTTATTTTATAAATTTTTTTAAAAACTGTGACAGGCCAGGCTTGGTGGCACATGCCTTTAATCCCAGCATTTGGGAGGCAGAGGCCTGCGGATCTCGGTGAGTTCCAGGCCAGCCTGATCTCCATAGTGAATCCAGGCCAGCTAGGGCTACAGGGAGACCCTGTATCAAAAAGACCAAAAAAAAAAGAACTGTGACAGAACATGTCAATCTGTAGAAGGTGTGATGGTTTAGACTGCCCTGGAAGGCTCAGATCTCCAGATCTGGGAGGGAGTACATACTGCACCCAGGTGACAGGACACAGGAAGACTGAATGCCTTTTCTGCAGAGTCTGAGAGTAAAATTTGTTTCTATTGTTAAGAGTACAACCCAGTCTAGTGGTAAGATGGAAGGGACAGAGATGACTGTCCCATGATGGGGCTGTGGGTAGGCATTCCCAAGGTGTCTCTTATGATCAGTTATAGGAATGACTTTTCTGGGCATGCCTTCTGTTACAAATAGGAATCTTACTAATCTTGTAACCAAGCTAATACTATGTTTTGAGATCACTTAACACTATCTCAGCCTGTTTACAATGTAAATAATCTTACTAGGCTTGGGCTCCTCTTGCAAACTATACCTATAGCTTTAATCCTCATGACCCTTCCCTGGCCCAGAATAATATATGTAGATATGTGTTTATGTTATGAATATAATATATCATTGCTGAAAGCATTGCCCAAAACAATAAATTATCCTGTTCCTGTTGCAGACAACAAGCAGGATTAGATTGATAACACCTGTTTGTGGTTTGAGGCACTGTTCTGGGTCAGTAAGGGGTCAGAAAGGGAACATTTTTCTTCTTTGATAACACAAGGTTCCTTCTGCCCCCCCCCACCCCCCATGCTGGACATACTGTTTAAATAGAGTATGGCCTTGGTTGGAAGAAGAGTTCCAAGGGAACTCAGAAGGAGCAAGTGCTGAGAGCAGATGGGTCTCACTATTGGTTTTAAACAGCTCCAAAAGTCAGGCTGTCTTTGTTCAGCACTGCCACATTAAGATGTCTCTGCCACAGTCAATAAACCACTTTGATCATTCAAAAAGGAGCTGAGGCCCCTGTCTATGGGGGTGTCCCTCCTAGTTAGAGAGAGGTCACAACACAGTGTCATTGACACAAGACTAAACTGTCTATGGGCATTAGACCAATCTTACCATGCAGGATCAAATTATCCAGGTGACCAGTCTGGGTACATTTCGGGGAGAGATTCCAATAGGACAAGATGGGGGGCAGAATGGCTAAGAGAGGAGCCCTCAGGACCAGAGTCTCAATCCAGAACTGTCCTCACGGACAGGCAGAACGGGAAGGGAAAGCAAGAGTTAAGAGGACTCTGACAGTGTGTGGGCATTTGGCCAGGAAGGGTTGCCACTGCTGCCAACCACAATGCATGCTGGGAGTGAATAATCTGAAGATAAGGAAGAGAAGTCTGGAAGGGAAACAGTGGGCTCAAACCCTGTCAGCCTCACGCTGTTTCTCCCACTTGCAGAACAGAGCTGGCTGAGGCAGGAATTGGAAAGAGGGGAGGGAGTAGGAAGAGGGAATTCTCTCAGTACTGTGGATTTGTCTGAGTTGAGCTTCTGCTGCCCACCACCACACACACTGGGTGAGGAGGCTCCCAGAAGGAGGACAAAGTGACCCCTCCCTTACAGACTCCAGCTGGCCACCCCTCTTTCTCTGTTGTTTTCAGATTCCACCGAAGTTTTCAGATTCCACCTTGGCTAGGGGGTCCATCAGTTGCAAACAGGAAGTAATGATTTCAACAAGGAACTCCTTAGCTTGTACATCGGGAGGTGACAGTGATCTGAAGTCACAGCCTACAGGCCTTCAGGGGTTCACTGGGGAACTGCCCAGAGACTTTCAGTTGCCCATGGGTGGATCAGCTGACCAAAAGCATGAGAGAAGAGAAGTCAAGACAGGAGAGGAGAGAGGATCCCATGCAGACCACCAAACTACCCTCCATGCCAGGGGGTGGTGGCACACCACCACTGACACAAGTGGTGAAAGAATTCACCAGGACGGAGAAAGGCAGAGGTAGAGAGTTTATTAGATATACTGGTCCGCCAGCAGCAGGCGAGGCGACAGAGAAAGACTGTCCAGGGGGTTCTTTAATGGATGGGGTTCTGTTGGGGCTGTCCAGCAACCGCCTGGCACCAAGGCAGTGATGGCCTTGGGTCAGAAATGTCTCAGCAGCACCATCCATCCTAGTTGGCACCCACAGAGCACCTTCACTCCACACCATGTCTTTAGATCCTTAGTCACCTTCTGCACACACCATTCCAGCTCCTTCTGTGGCTTGGAAACACTGGATCAGCCAAATTATTACTGAGTGTTGTTGATGTGACAGCTACAGGTCAGGATTGATTACAGTGCTTCTTGTACATGGATGATATATTGATGATGTAACTGGCTCATTACAGAGCCCCCATCAGGGACACTGGGGAACCACTGCTCATTGCAAACGGGGTCCCTTCCAGTCTGACCCCTCTCGCAGCCTTACATGAGTCTGTTTCTCCAGGTGCTTGGTTTTGCCCTCATACTTGTGTGTACCTTCAATGTGGTCATGCCGCTGTGGAGAATCCATCAGGGAAGGCCTCAGGCCCCAGAACTCCTGATCCACCCCATCGTGTGGCTCACTACCATGGTAATCACTGCCTGGGCCAGAGCCTGGGCTCCACTGCTGCTTTCCTGTCTGGGAATACGGGGAAGGTGGGGCCTCCCCTCCCATTCCCAACTTCTACCCCACCCCAGCCTAAGGGGCCCTTTGACTTTTCTTGTCCTTTCTTGTCCAGAGCTTTGCCATGTTCCTGGTTCACCTGGAGAGGAAGAAGGGAATCCGGGCATCCGGGGTGTTGTTTGGGTACTGGTTGCTCTGCTGCCTCTTGCCAGTGATCAGTGTCATCCAGCAGACCTCAGCAGGAGTGAGTGGGGACCCAGGGCACCTGAGGAAATCTGCATGGTGGTGTCAGACCTCGATTCCCATTCTTCCTGTCCCTCTGGCTCCCCCATAAATTCTTTCTATCTCATCTATTTTATTTTGTTTTGAATTGACACATAATTATTGTACCTATTTACAGGTGGAGTGTGCTGGGGGGAGCAGTTATGTGATTATGGGTATGCGTGCCTCTGTGTGCAGAGGCCAGAGGAGGATGTCAGGTGTCCTGTTCTATCACTCTTCACCTTATTCCCTTGAGTCAGTCTCACTGAACCTGGAGCTAGGCCGGCAGCCAGTGGGCCCCAGTGCCGCCAGCCAGCCCAGATAATCCTCTGCCTCTGCCGCCTACACCACCTAGGTTACAGGCTTGTGACCACACCCAGGTTTTGTGGGTTCAGGGAATTTAAACTTGCACACTCATGCGAGAGCTCTTACCTGTCCAGCTGTCTCCCCAGCTCCCGAGGTGTGATATTTTGATGCATGTGTACATAGAATAGCAATCAAAACAGGGTGTTCAGCCTCTCCATCATTTCCATGTGATAAGAAAATTCAAAATCCTCTCTTCCACTGAGCATGGTGGCGCACACCTTTAATCCCAGTGCTTGGCAGAGAGATGCTGGCAAATCTCTGTGAGTTCAAGGCCAGCCTGGTCTACCTAGTGAGTTCCAGGACAGCTGGGGCTACAGGGAGATCCTGTCTCAAAAAAAGACAAAACAAAACAAAACAACAAAAACGCAAATTCTCTCTTCCAGCTCTTTCGAAATAGTTAATACGCTATTATTATTTTTTGAGACAGGGTCTCATGTAGCCTAGGCTATCCTTAAACTTTCTATGTAGCAGAGGATGACCTTGAACTTCGGATCCTCCTGCCTTCACCTCCTGAGGGCTGGGATTATAGGTCCTACAGTATTGTCCAGGATTGGCACCCTGCTGTGACAGAGCACCAGGTCCTGTTCTTCCTGTCCAGTGACCACCCCTCTGCTTCTCTAGATTCCATGACTGAGACACCCCACACTCCTGTGTCCATGTGACGTATGAATGGAGCTCACAGATTTATCCAGGTTCAGCTCCCAGCACACACACAGCTGCTCATGTCACATGACTTCTATCCACATTATCGCATGTTCATTTTCATCAACACACATTCCCACCATCTCACACACCCTCTTCGATTGTTCCTCTCAAGCTGGGCATGCCTGTGAGCTCCATTCATGCATCACACAGGCACAGAAAAGCACATGTATGTGCACACATGCACATATCACATACACACATGTACAGACATACACACATTCACATACACACATGCACATCATGCACACCTATCCACACATATATCAAATAATGCAAACACGTATATCTGCATACATACACATGCCCAAAACACACAGACATCATCAACACACATCCACTCACATACACATACATGCACACACACATACAAACATTCACATACACATCATACACCTGTATCTACCCATAAATCATAAATCTGAATATGCACACACATGCCCAAGACACACACATATCACCCACATCCACACACACTCACATACATATGCACACATGCACATATACATCGTGCACACATATCCACACATACATCGTACAACACAGACACATACATCTGCATATGTACAACACGCATGCCCAACACACACACATCACTCATCATACACGCTCATGCACTGGGCACACCACACATTTGTCCTTCCCTATATGGCATTTCCCTCATCTCCCACAGTCACTCCTCTCCATGTTCCCACACATCTGCATTTATTTCTAACACCTGTCACTGCATGTCTGATGGGTAGGAAGCCTGCCATGACCCTTCATTTTCACCCTTCCTCCTTCCCTTCCCTCCCCACTTCCCCTCCCTCCCCACTTCCCCTCCTTCCCTTCCCTCCTTCCCCTCCCTCCCCACTTCCCCTCCTTCCCTTCC